TTGTTCTCTAACAGATAGGATCTAATTCACACATGGTGGTGTTACTTCAACTTCGCATGTTATATAGGATAGATCATTAAAAGCAATAGCTTTCATTGGCCGAGTAGGTGATATCTAGAGGTTACAGCCTTTGTATGTTGTAGAAAAACAAATAGTCATGCGGTTACACTTGTCATTTATGGGTAAAACTGGGGTAACTTGTTTTTGCAAGGTGTGTTGGTTATTAGCATCTCAAGAGACAAAAGTTGTTGGCTAATTCTCAGGTTCAATATAAAGGCGATTGTATAATGCTTCTTTCAAGTACGCACAATGTTTTTTCTTGCCTTTAGGTATAAATAAAGATTGGTGTCCACTTTACATCCCGCGTTCAGTATGTTTATTCTCTTAGCTTAAATATCAGTAGTTTAATTAAATTCAGACGTACTCTGTAAATATCCTGCACGAATATTCCGTTTTAGAGCAGACCTATTTGGTACGTAAGCGGAAATCAGTTAACCGAGAATACCACAAGGGCTAGAGCAGATAACCCTCTCGCTCTCTTTATATTGGTACAAGTATTCATTCGGGGAGGAGCAGAATCCTTGTTAAAATCCATTCCTGCGAATAACGTAACCTACAGACAGCAAGGAAACATTACATACTTCAAGGCTGTCCTTTCACACCCACTTATGGGACAAGTAAAAATTCAAACCCATCCGTTAATTTTCAGGACATTGTCAGTTACTTCATTTTAAACTCCTGTAAAGAGCTGGTCTCCACAACCGCCTACGTAATAGAAATTACGTTGGTTTATTATTGTTTTCTTTCAAAGTTTGTAGTTGCATATTGGAGGGATTTACACATTGTAATAAAAGTTCAGACAAACGACCTTTATACTCCAGATGTATATATATATATATATATGTTTTTTTATTCCTATCAACGTTTCGCTTTCACAGCTTCTTCAAGGTTAATATCAAACAGTTTGTATGTAGTATAAAAACAAATATAAGCTAAAACAACGCTATAACGAACTTCAACAATACTGACTGCAGATCAATTACACACTGTCTACACACATTACATTCTCCTCTTTTATATACCAGCCTACCCTATCTAGCAGATACTAGAGCATTCGTGAAAAAACAAGATAGTTCTAGAAAATAGAGGGCGCCACACCAGTCACGTGACCTCGATGACGCAACAACTCAACTTCAACAATCGCATATCGGTAAAGTTATATTCGGAAAGAATAAACCAGTTTTTATTAAGAAAGAACTTGTGTCGCTTAAGTTTCGTCGAAACGAAGTTACGGAAAATCAATTAACAAACGGAGACGTAACAATATGTATGTTAGTGATATATCACAATCTAGTACAGAGGAAGTCTTACACGTCTATTCTGTCGTTATATCACAATATAGGGCAACGGAAATCTTACACGTCCATTCTAGCGTTATGTCACAATCTATGGCAAAGGAAATCTTATATGTGCATTTAGATTGTGATATAACGCTAGGATTTTCTTTGTCCTAGATTGTGATATAACGCTAGAATGTACATGTAAGGTTTCCTTTGACCTAGATTGTGATATAACGCTAGAATGCACATGTCAGATTTCATTTGTCCTAGATTGTGATATAACGCTAGAATGGACGTGTAAGATTTCCTTTGCCCTATATTGTGATATAACGGCAGAATGGACGTGTAAGATTTCCTTTGCCCTATATTGTGATATAACGGCAGAATGGACGTGTAAGATTTCCTTTGCCCTATACTGTGATATAACGCCAGAATGGACGTGTAAAATTTCCTTTGTACTGACACGTGCATTCTAGCGTCATATCACAATTTAGGACAAAGAAAATTTTACATGTGTATTCTAAAGTTATATCACAATTTAGGATCTAGGACAAAGAAAATCTTTTATACGCATTTTAGTGTTATGTCACACTAGAACAAAGGAAAACTTGCACGTGTATTGTAGCGTTATATCACAAACTAGGACAAAGGGAATACTACACGTGCATTCAAAGTGATTGAATAAACGCGCAAAATGTGCGCAATCTTTACCATATTATTCGTTGGATGATGAGTAGTGTGTACATATTGGTATCACTAAATAACTGAGTGTCCTTGTTTATTAAGCTACTTCTTTGACGGTGAATGATCAAATTAAAATTTACATAAAGCTTTTTTTTTTCTCGAACATTTGTATGCGAAATGAAGTAAATACATGTTTTTACAGACCTTGTTAAATATGTTCAAAATCATGACCGCCTTAACCTACACAACATACTGAGCTCTATAGGTATATTCAGACCTGGCGTTAATTTAAGGATAGGAAACATACGCGGCTACTTTACAGCGCCAAACACTCGAGGGATCCACTGCGCACCTTTAATTTCAAACTTAGTCAAGCTATCGCCGGTCCTGGATATATTTCGTGTTGTTGTGAGAATTGTTTAGTACTGTAAATCTTACAGGAAACCGAGTCGGTTATAATCTGGCTGTATAATACAGTTGTTACTGCTTTTAAGTTTGGGATAAAAACGAAAAAGATTTAGTATTTATCAGTATCACCGTTGTTAATATATGTACGAAGTCATATTTAATATAAGTATGTCTAGTTTATTATCAAACTGTCTACCCCCCTTTTTTTCGGTAACTTTGGTTGATGAGGATGTTTTTCATTGTTACCATCTTTCAAGTTTGCAATAAACGGCTAATTACTAGATGTACTTCCGAAGAGTCCCCGAAAATGTTCTGTTTCAAGAGTAAATAAAACCCAAATTAAGAGTAACGAATATTTTTATTTCTTGCTTCTGAAGTTCATATGTCATGCTGTGTTGTAGCTTACAGAGTACATAATTATTCTCGCGATTCATGGCATGCGCACGTTTTACTGTACAAATTGACTTACAAACAACACACTACTGTTTACTGGTGCGAGTGGTCAAAACAGGTGACCCCTCCAGTAGGATTTCGGCCCCCTCTCGATGAAATTTTAAACATTTTGATCCAAGACCCTAATCCGTGATCTAAAAATTGACGTTTTGTAATCACAACAAATGTTTCAAAATGTGTGATAACCGTACTACTTAAAGTCTCTGATTTTACTTACATTTATGATATTTAACTAGGATACCTACCTAAAGCAATTTGAGCTATGATGAGCGAATTAAAACAAATTAGAGGCAACTTGATTTCCATATTCAAAACAAATTTGGAAAATCAACGTAGTATTTTTTTTAATAGGAGCATGGTAGCGTTGGAAACGTTTGTTTTTGAATTTCGCGCAAAGTTACACGAAAGCTATTTGCGTTAGTCGTCCCTAATTTAGCAGTGTAAGACTAGAGGGAAAGCAGCTAGTCATCACCACCCACCGCCAACTCTTAGGCTACTTTTTTACCAACGAAAAGTGGGGTTGGCCGTTACATTATAACGTCCCACGGCTGAAAGGGCGAGCATGTTTGGTGTGACAGGGATTCGAACTCGCGACCCTCAGATTACGAGTCGAGCGCTCTAACCACAGGCAACCATCTTTTCTGTTAGCGTTATAATGGCGATATGATGGGTTAGTAGGTTTAACGTGTTCAACCATTTGTTGGCATATTTGTATAGTTAATTTAGTTGATCTTTGCGATTGTTTGAAGATATGAAGGTGCGAGTGGTTTTATTCATATCAACAGAAGGTTCACACACATTGAATTATCTTATTACCACTTCAGTGAAGATTAGGCTTAATTAATTTTCTTGTATTTTTATAAAAAAAAACTTTCAATTAACATTTCTACTGATAATAGAAAACGTGTAATGTTACAGTGGAAGCTTTGTGGTGCACAGAAAAATATATATATAAAATCGCAAGTTGTCTGTAGATCAATGACAAACGACATTGTGTTTGACATAAATGGTTTATTCAGATGTGAATCGTTAAGATTTTGTTAACTAAATTAACGTTTAAAAATAGTATATACAAGATTTAAGTCAATTCTCACATGGATAAGTCAAGCAAAGCAGAAACTTATGTTTAAATCATTAAAAATAAATACAAATACCTCTAAGTAAAAAAATTTATACAAAAATGATTAATGCTTTAATGACTTTAGTCAGTCTTTAAAGTCAAACACCCAACATTAAATTATAAGATAAATTCAAATAATTTTTTTGATACTATAGTAACACTGAAAATTACTGTCAAATAAAAAATTCCTTTAAAAACCAGTGTACAAGATCATTTGTACATTTTCTTAAAAGTGCATAATAGTGCTTTGAACCATACTGACAGTTTTTCTTATGTAACATTGTTTCAAACTTAGTCTGACATAGAAAATGAAAGATAAGTGGACTTAGAAGAAAGTTTACATACAACAAAAAAAACATAAGTGTGATATACTGAGATGTTAGATTAGAAGGAAATCTACAGAGAATTTTATTTTACAAATCAAGTAAACTGCAGAGAAATTTCAACTATAAAAGAGTTAGAAGAAACGTGATATACACAGCGATGTAAAAAGACCAAGAAACTCTCAAGTAAAGAATGGGAAATAAAACTATAGCAAGCATAGAAAGAATCTGATATAATGAGAATAAAAATAATTTAAACAAATATCCCATGCCTTAAAAAAAAAAGGGGGTGGGGCAAGTTAAAATTGCAAAATATCATGGCAACTGTTTCAAAAGATCATGGTGTGTGTGTTTAATCATTACTTTTTTTTTCTATATTAATATAACAAGTATGATGCATGGAAAGATGTTTTATTACAATATATATTACATACATTTAAGGCACCACTCTTGTACACATCAAAGTACAAGTTGTTTAAAAGTGTGTAAACATATCTTTGGTTACATTTCTATAAAGATATTATAAATTAGACACTTTGTATTACAAGTGTTTTTTTTGGAAAATATTTCCATCTTCTTGACAAGAAATTTCAAATCACCACAGAAGAAAGAAAAGACGTTTGGAAAGTATGCAGGTTAAAGGTATTTCTGAGTACAGTTTCTTTCTTTTTATTTTTTTTATTTTAGGGGATCTGGAATGTTCTTGCAAGAAATAATCAAGTAACTTCTCTCATCTAGACTTATAAGGAGTTTTACCAAACACAAGTGAAATACAAAAAAATAATGTAACAACAAATATCTTTTGTGCTACAGATTTGTCAGTTGAGATCTTCCCGTTCTCAAACCGCCTTTTCCCACAAACATGGAATACCCAATGTTCCATATTCTGTTGACATATAAAGAGGATGTAGTTATTCAGTGAGTGCCACCTTAACATGTATATAATACATCACTTTTGGATAAATATCAGATCCCTCACAATTTTTAACTGTAAAATACCTCTCATTTACAATATTCAGAAAACAGAATATTTCTCTTGACAAAAACATATCTTACTAATCTTAAACTAACATAATTTATGTTAAACTTGAACTTTTTTGTTGTTGTTGTTGAGACTTTTGCCACAAAACAAGACACCTGAACATCTTACCAAATTTAATGTTACTTTCAGTAACAGTTCATTAGTCTTGTGTTTATTAAAATTTATTTTTGTTGTTGTTGTTGAGACTTTTGCCACAAAACAAGACACCTGAACATCTTACCAAATTTAATGTTACTTTCAGTAACAGTTCATTAGTCTTGTGTTTATTAAAATTAACTGTTTTTAGATAGGACCTTGTTTTTGTTGTTTTTACTTCATACTTGACATTTGGCAACAAACTGTATTATCCAAATAACATACATGCATAAAATTTTCTCAAATTATATTAACAAATATATTTAACCCTATTTTTAAACATTTACACAAATATCAACAAATGTAGAATACATAAATATTTCAGGCAGAGCAAATGGCATTTTCATGCTATTATTCCTCTTCAAGTATATCATTTGAAAAATATATTGCAAAAATACTTTAATACAATATATATATTTATATATATATAGACACATATATTTTCTATTAAATTTACATATGAAGATATTTATAAAAACTAACAATGGATATATCCTGAAACAAATTTCACACTTCACTGTTTCAACCAGTTTACATAATTTATTTTTATATAAATATGCTGATTCTTCCAATATAACCTGTTATTTGCAAGCTAGAAATACTTAATCATATAGACATCATTAGATCATATTTATCTAAGTGAATGAAAACATTTTACGTCCAGTGCTTAATGATAAGAGGTTTACATACATATTGTATGAAACAATTTAAACCTATTAAGTTTTATAAAATAAAATAAAATTACCCACTCATATATATAGTAGTAATTATAGAGGAATTTTCCCTCTAAATACCACAAAACAGTCAAACAATTTTATTATCATGTTGCATCATTAACACACACAAAAAAATGTAGAACTAATAACTAATATGTTTACATGACAACTAATAACTATTATGTTTACATGCAGAACAACTTGCTGAAGTACAACTTTCCCATGAATTAGCATTCACCAATTAATTAATATTGAGGTGGGGAACAATGAAGTAAAACAAAAATTAGTATCAATGGTTGAAAGCAACTTACAGTCTAACTTAAATAAGGGTGGTTTATAGTAGCTAGTAAGATGCAACATGCTTGCTAGATGTGAACAGTGTTAAGTTAAAAGCTCTAATTTAAGTCTAAAGAAATGTAATGTGTACCAATTTCTCTGTATTTCCAAATAGTTCTGTGTGTCCATGATGATGATTTTTTTTTGTTTTGTAGCTTTGCATCTCTCACTAAAAACCTTACTGAAAGAATTCTAAATCAGGTGATAAGTTTTCTGTATTTTGTATTTATGGCATAGCTACAAAGCTAATTGCTACCATCCCTAATCTGAACTACTGACCAGAGGGAAGTCACCAGCAACCCACTATCCATGCTAAGGGATTTAATATCATTCTTAAAATGCACCCATAAATTTAAAGTGCATGGAATATTTTGTTGTATTACAAAGATTTGATTCTGACTCGCCATCTCCAAAATCCAGAATTCTACAACAGGGCCTAAACTATGCCCATTATGTGGCCTTCTATTGAACTTGAAGGTAAGACAAAGGCAAAGAGTCATGCAATTTCTCTCACTTAGCTTGGTGGACATATCTCAAAAAATAGTTTTTAAATGTGAGAAACAAAACAAGAGTTACAACTTACACTAGTCAATTATTTAAAAAGAGATATTACTGTAAAGATAAGAACAGAAATAACACAACATCTTAAGTTTTTAAATCACACATTTTATAGCTTTAGGTATTAAAACGTTTTGTTTTCATTCCATTATTCTTTGCCTACAAATGAGAGAACTTTCACTTGAAATAATAACTTGTTCTGCTTTTAAATACTGGCTGATAATGCTCTATTTTATTTTAACCAATTAGTAGATGTTATGTTGACTTTAAAATGTCAAATTTTGAAAAACTTAAAATAAATTCGATAAGAAGAGGTTTAGATGACAAAGAGAAACATAATATTACTCGTATTATTAATTGAAAAACAGAAAATGTAATATTTGCTTCACAATTCATTTTTGTATCAATAAACAGCTAAGAGTATTAAACACAACACTCAGTCATATACAAATAAAGACCCGGTGGATATTTCTAAAATCTTGACAACTGACTGTAGGATGTATTCACATGAATATATTTACACAACATTATTGTTTACTAAATCATAACACAAAAACATAAGGTGAGGTCATCCTTAGAATTTTTGTTAAAAGGACAAGAAAAATATTGTAAAAAATCTCCGGAGAAGTAGAGTCTGTCAGAAACAAAGATATATTGAATATCAATAGTTTTCCTTGTCACTGAATGGATTCTATGTTGATATCATGTGTTTGTCAGATTTTTGTTTTGTATTAGATCTCAAATAGTAAAAGCTATATGCAAGAACAACTATGCTATCACTAATTAGTCATGTTTGACACTTTGGACCAACTTTCTAGCAGTAGAATGTTACTAGATATCATCTGTAATGAATACATTATAAATATATATTGACAGAAAATATCACTCCAAGAAAAACTTGTCTCTCAATACCCAGTTATATATATATTGTTTTTTATCCTGCCTAATACACGTTAAGTACAATCTTAAATTTACTTTTAGAAAAAATATATATATATATATATATATATACTATATTATAACACACACACACACACACACACACACACATATATATATGTATATAAAATTGTTGGAATGTACACGTTTTAAGAGGTATAGACAAACGGAAAAAGAAACCGAATCAATTCCCTTACAAACTTCCGATGTAACAGAACTTTAATGCAAGTAAGTTTAGTTTTTTTTTCTCTTAATAACTTCTTTATTTATATTCAGTAAGACATGAGAAATAAAGCAATAATGTTTTTAGTTCTCGTTTTTTGTTTTTAAGAAGAAATATGTTCTTTTAGACTTTACAGCTAAAATATTTATTTTAATATACGTGTAGCATTCCCAGGAGAGAGGAAAATAAAGGTATTCTATCAAACTAAATCTAATAATCAGCTTTCTGAGATCAAAAACAAGGAATGAAAATTATTAAGTCAATATCCATTTTTAAGTAAAAAAAAAATATTTGTCTAAAAATATCTCAACTTTAAGAAGTTTTAAAAATACACAAACATTGAAGACTTAACTTCAGTGATACCTTAACTATTTGAATCTTAAAAACTTTTTTCTTCTGAGAATAACATCTTTTTTTCATATAATAAATTTTAAGCTTTTTTAAGTCTCAATTATCTTCTGGGAAACAGTTTTACTTACACTGAAAACTTAAATATACACACTAATGTATTATAATTGGCAACAAAATGATCTTTTACTGCTGATGCTTGGAACTACTTACTTGGCAAAATCTACATCATACAATAAGCTGCTAAAGTTCTCACTATTTTGTAATATATCTGAATTGCCTTAAGACTGTAATCCCATCAACTCTCTCATAATATATCTTATAAAAAAAATATCTAGTCAGGTAGGAAGACGACTATGGCTATGCTACAACATCAGAGCCTTCCAATGAAGTATCACACATATTTGGGACAGAGTAAACCTCTGATCTATTGTCTTCTTGTACTATCGCGTGACTTCCTGTATGTCTAAATGTCACACTGGAAGAACCACTGGACCCTCGGGACCAAGAGGCAGAGACAGAACACTTTTCACAAGCTTGCTTAGGAAATTTAATTTCTTGCAGGGCTACTATTACGTGACAAGGAGAGAGGCTGTTCTGAATGGTACGAACAACAAACCTGTAAGAGTTACAAAACAGAATGTTATAATCATTAGTTTTTTTTACAAGTTATAACTTTTACAGTAAGGTTTATTTTTAGAACAGATGTGATGTTTCAATGACTGGTGCAATCATTTTTGTGCATAAAAGATTTAACGGTGAAGAAGATTTTAATATTTTTAGAAATACTAAAACATTTACCATTAAAACTTGTGTAATCAAGAATGATCGCACCAGTGATCAAAATGTTGTACCTGTTCTAAAAACAAATCCTCCTTACTGTAAAAGCTGTTAACTTGTAATAAAATAATACTTAATCAGTAAGTAAACTCAAAAGGAAATTAAAAATGGTATAAAAATGTTTAATCTACAGCTACAAATAGAATTTGTTCTAAAAGGTGTACAAAACCAAACATTTTTTCAAGCAGATGAATCTGTTACAGAACACGGGTTAATGAAAATTCCAGGATAATTTCTTTTAATGCCCTTAAGGTGACATTTTAACTAAATTTATCAAAACATGTCACTACCAGCACTTATTATTATTATTATTACCAGTTTTTAATTGTAGGTTATCTGCTACTTATATCAGTTATTTTATTCAAATATAAGGAAAGATACTTAAGACATCAGATAGCTTTATAATTAAATATGCCTCTACTTGGTAGTTAATAAACCAGTTGTTTTGGCAATGTCAGTTTTTTATAAAGAAAAAAATCAGTCTAAAGTTAAGAAGAAAAAAAAAATGTGAAATGAAAATGTTACTTTTTATAAGCTCATTATAGATTTCTGCTTATTTGATTTGGCAAACAATCATTATTCCAACTTGAAAGACTCATAAAATTACATTATCAATTTATAAGACTTTTAAAAAACAACAACTTTGGTTTCCACAACAGTGAAGAGCTTTATCCTTTTCTCCAAAGTCTTATTTTCAACATACTGTTTTGAAAAAATAAAAATATATATGGGTGTTTCATATTGGTTGAAAAAAAATATAGGTTTTTCTATAGGTAATTTAAAAAAAAGGTCTTTATAGGGTCACTACAAGTCCTGAAATTAGAAGACAATAGTTGAGCTTATTACAAATTATAGTACCCCCAACCCTCCAATACTGGTATATAAAATAAATAATAAAAAAATTAACAAAGCCATGAAACAAACAAAATATTGTACACTTAACTTACCTTGTTGAAATGACAAGGACAAAAACCAGTTTGAACAAGTGAGGGAAGGTCAGAAACTATCCTGGAAAACAAACTAGGTGTACGAAACAAACATCATGTGACCTACCTTGGTAAACATGCAATGACTAGAACTAAAACAACTGTAAACCAGAACGGTGCAGTTGCCATGACATGCTGCATGACCCAGTAAGAGTTCTGAAGGGATGAGCTACCAAGACACAAAGCATTATACAGGACTGCAAAACCAAAATAAACTGCAATACTCAGGAATGTGGCAAGTATATGGAGGTATGTCTATAGGACGAAGAATAGAATAAAAAAAAAAGCGAGTTGGTAAATGAATAAAATGCTGTAACAAATCAAACTTAAAAAATAATGATGGACAAAAATAATTTCTTGAATAAATATCAGACAACACTGTGACGGGTGGAATCTATCTCATCAACAAACATACATTGTTATCTTAAACACTAAATGTGTTTAGTTACCAAATGTTCGGTTACACATAACCTAGCTGATCAGTGATTACTTAACTAACAATTAATAGCTCATTAATTAGAATTAACAATTTATTGATCAAATTTGTTTTAAATATAAAACTTTAAATATTTTAATTTTGAGGTTTCAACTTTTACCTAAATCAATAATTCCAACATTTTTTTCGACTATTCAGAAAACAAAAGCAATAAAAAACACAAGTATGAATGTTTTTATAGGTGGCATTTAGCAAAATGTTATTTGCAAATTGTTGTGTGAATATAACTGTATTATTCAAATGTAATGATTAGCAATTTTTAATTGAATGAGATTCAAATGCTTAAAAATTATAAGCTTATAAAAAATTCAGTGTAACATTAAAATATTAAGCACTGATTTTAGACAGCTTTTGCTTTACTGAGAACTACAATTTCAGGAATATTTTATGTCTTAAATATAATGAACAATAATTCATACTTCTATAAATTTTCTTTTCTCCCCCTAAATAATCCTAAAATAATGTTTGTTTTTGAGAACTTGATACACAACTTATTGTCAAAAAGTTATTTAATAATATAGTGTTCAATGCCATGCATATAACATGATCTTCACAATATCCACAAAACTATTAAGAAAACCATCAAAATGCTCCAAAGTATTTCACACAATATTATTCAAAGATATGCAAGGTACTGAATAAGCAGACAATCTGACACAATAGGCTATTTAATTTTGCATTCTAACAGGAGACAAGTAAGACATCACGAGAAAAAACATTCAAGCATAAAAACAAAAACATATGACTAGCTTGGGTCACACAAAACAGTGTTTTCAAAGTTGAGATTATACATGAATGTTAGTTTGAACAACAAATACACTTAGTTAACTTTTTAGTTAACATGCTCTTCATGTGCAAATATATATGTATATAAATATATACTGAAAGAATTAATTTAAACCAACATTAATTTCATTAAAGTAAGAGTGAATATTGATAAATCTCAAAACACACACACAAAAAGAAAAATGATGAATGTATTAATCATGATATTATATCTTTTTTTTTATTGTTATGAACATACTACTACAAAGGACATTCATAAAACTATTAATAAAAAAAAATATATAATTTCAATAAATAAAAGTTACATACTTACATTCATTACAAAGCAAATCTCAAATAAATATATGGATTTCTCATCTAAATATCTATTTATAAATTACAACCTATATAAAACATACACCATCAATGAAGATCTGGAATACATTACAAAATGCACATATACTATTTTTTTTTACCTAAAACCTAGCTTCTATAAACATTGTATTTATGAGTAATCTTGTGATTAGCATCATTGTCCAAGACCTGATCTCTAAATTAAATGTACAGATCACAAACATTCTCATCAAACACTATTTCTATGGTTACAATTATAATTGTGTTTTTACTTAAGTCTTTTCTTCTATGATTAAATGTAAGGATAACATTCTTACGTGGCTGGATTCTAGCTAAATGTACTGATTACATCCTCACCAAAAACCTTATTTTTATAATCAAATTCACAGATAGTATTACTGCATGAAATCTAGTTCTATTGGTAAATCTATGAATACCATTCTCACAGACAACATGGTTTTCATGGTTCTAGGACAGTCTTTTCATTAGTAGGGTATGTTGCTACATGTTCCAGTTACATATAAATAACTCAATATGGACGGACAACTATTCAAGGAAAGCCTGAATCATTTTTAAAAAGTTCAGATCTTTCATCATTTCAAATAAAATGTTTTACAACATAAGGGCCTTTTATATTTTGAAGGAGTGTTTCTAATATTGAAGAAATATTCAATAATATTTTACTGACTGGAGTGTTTGTCTGATGAACTAATGCTGACAAAATATTTTTATTTTATGATCTTAAATAACATATGTAAGGGAGATTATGACATAAAATTATCAGGTAGTGAAATACCCTATAATGAAAAGACCGATAACGAAATGTTTAGTAGCGAACTGTCCGGCCACAAGTTTTCATGGTTAAATAAAGGAATAGCATTCTTACCCAAAACCTTGTCTCTATGACTAAATGAATAGATAATATCATGTTATAATGTTGGGTGGGTTCTTAATACTTTGGAGAAAACTATGTGAAGTACAGTCCACATAACAATAATAAATTTATTTATTTCTTCTATAACATTTCCTACAGGTTACATTCACTCTGACACAAGCTGTAGGCCTAAGTTGACAAATAACATTTAACAAACTCCTCACTAATATTACCTATGCCTAGTTTAATACTTAGCTTTGATTGATAAACACATAACTCACCAAGAAATTGAATAGATGCAACAATACCCACTTCATTCACCTTCCAATATTCCACACAGTACCTTGTGGACCCATTCATATTCTGCACAAGTACAATAGGTGATGCCCAAGCACTAGTCCTCAGCTATATAATTCCTTGTTCATTCATGGCTTTTATCTCCTTGAAAGACTCACTATTTTGCAAATGGGAGTTGTCTTGCTAACTAACATATTGAGGCTGCATATTCGGTATCACTCATATGAAATATTTTATTTGTTTAGCATAAGTCATGAAGCCAATGGAAAAGATATTTTGATATTCCATGAGCAAATCATGTAACCTATGCTACTGATAAGCTGCAAGACCACTAAAGTTCATGTTTTAAAGCTCTTGTAAGTGAGGTGGTAAGTTATTCTTAGATGAGGATTTGACATCAGTCCTACATCTTGCCTTAAAGGCAATTAAATTCTGATGTTCTGTGATGTGGAAGTACTGCTTGTACAGCTCTACATCTTACAATGTTCCATCCAGACTTGACTAAAATGTTTATGGTTCACTGTGTTCATGGCCCTAATGATGTTAACTATATTCTTCAGATCCTTCCGACCATTAATCCATCAATACATGCTGGTGTGTTTAGTTCTATTAAGGTCCAGTCACTTGATGTAATTTCATATCTAGTAAGTCTGGTGTAGTAACTGTCATGCACATGGATTTCTGGTCATAGACTATGAATCTAGCCTAACTTCACATCCATGTCTGCACGTGAAGTCAGTTCCAAATATGCATTTCTTAACTGTCCAGCTAAGTTTGTGAAATGGATTTGATAGTGACATAGCTGTAGTATAGGATGGTTCTGCAGTAACAGATAGCACAGCAACAGTGGTAATATGTGTAGACATAGTAAGTTCTACTATTCCACATTTTATAGTAAATGGTAGTTTAGGACTGAATTCATAAGCAGATGCAAAAATTAGAATACTGGTGTGATCTTTACACTTCCCAAATTCTTTTATCCAAGTGTATCATTGATATCCATTTCTAAATCATTGATCTTCATGTTATAATCGTTCTGTACTTTAACTTTGTTATCATAATCCCTCTGTACATCTCCAATAGCTTCACTGGACTTGTCTTTAATCAGATTTTTGACTTTAATTCTTCTTTAAATATTGTCTCTTTCATTTAACTCTTTTCTTTAACTCCCATCTCTTACCTCTTAATCTTCTTTCACTTTTTTGTATATTTCTTCTTTGTCTCATTCTTCCAATTTTCTGTCATTTTTATTTTTGTTCTTTTAATTTTCTATTTCTTTCTTCATTGTCTTTTTTTAATTTCCTGTAAATTTCTTGTTAACCTTTTATTCTTCATATATCTTTTTCTTCCTGATTTTTCGTTAAATTTTTCTAAGTTTTCTGTAAATTTTTTCTTGGTGTTCTTTTAATTTTCTATACCATTATTCTAATTTTCTTCCTTCTTGTTGCACTTTTAAATTTCTGGTTCTTTCTTTTTGACCCTCTCTTAATTGTTCCATTATTTCTAGTAAAGCTTCAATCTTGCTTAATGATTGGATTGTTACGGTGAAATTTAGGTACAATTCTATTTTATTTTCCCCACTTTTCATGACAGAGTTGTAATTCTAACATTAGACAGGTTCTTTTGAATTATTTGGTGAAAATAATGCAAAGTACAATCCATGTAATGACAACAAAATAATTTATTTCTTCTATAATGTTTGCAACAGGCTACATTCACTTTGATCCACGTTGTAGGCCTTAGTTCACAAATAACATTTTAATAGATTCCTCACAACTGTTACCTATGCCTTGATTGATAAATGCAACTAACTGAGTAATGAATAGCAGAACAGGTATTAACTCTCACTGCCTAACACTTAACAAAAAACACTCAATGACCTCTTATTACATATTACTCATATTTATAATGTACCCTTGTTTCCAGATATTTCACAAAGCTTCTCGATCTTTAACATTCATGAACATTCTAGGTATTGCATCATCATGATCAGCAGCTCCTTCTAGCAAACAAACATCTAAACCGAAATATTGAAAATACAACTTACAACAATATGTATAATACTTGTCTCTAAGACCTGGTTTCTATTATTAAACATGTGTTAGTATTCTTATTTAAGACCCAGTTTCTGTGTGTAATGTGGAGATATCATTATCATGTTATTTTATGACCAGACATTACATATACATTAACCTAACCAAAAATCTGGTAAGCCTAAATATATAGATAGTGCTCTCATGCAAGACCTTGTTTTTAAAATGTAGGTTTACGATTTGGTTCCAGTTCCGTTTTTTTTTATTACATCTATAGATAGCATTCTTACTCAAAGTCTAATCTTTGAAACTAAATCTTTGGACAACAATTCTTATACAAAAACTAATTTCGATAATAAAAGGTATAAACAGCATTTATTATTCAGAATAGGTTCCTTAACACGGTGTATGAATAGGATGCTTATCAAGATCCTGCAATGTACAACTAAGTTTATATACAACATTACATTATGAGATTAGTTGTTTAACTAAAACATGTTGTTATCACTTTTACCCATGACCTAACTTCTATGACTAAATGTATGAAAAAGATTCTTCTCATGGATAGCATTCTTACCCAAGACCTGGTTTCTATGGCTATATGTGCAAGCTGTACTAAAACACAAGCAGTGAAGATAGTGGATCCAAACTCCCAAAGTCCCACATTACTATCATAATACACCTGCAACAATAATAATAATAATAATAATTATTTGAAAAAACCTTTTCATTCATTTTGAAACAATGTTTTCCTTTTTACCTTTCTACATCTGTTTTTCAATGCTGAAATCTTTATGTGCATAAACTCGTATATTCTAATATATACCAATCCAATTAGCTTGTGATATAATTTTTTTCTACATACATTAAGATTTTTAACATTTGTGTTCTAGAGCTACAACAATTTATCTCTCTCCATCTTTTATTTTCTTACCAAATCTTTATTTTTCATTCATATTCATTTATTTTGATACTTTGAATCTGTCTTTATTATTTAACTGTGTGCAATCTCTCTCTGTAAAAAGCAAAATGTAGAGTAAGTTAATCTATTTGTCATTATACCCATTCTAAATACAACACGTGTGCTAAGCCTAACAGCTGTTTTTCAATGTAGGCAAAATCTAACAGTAACAGTGATTGTGAATGGCCAAGTTATTGTTATAAAAAGATAAAGAAGCTCAGCCTCATAAAAGCCATGTAGGTTTTATGTAACTAAACATAAAACAGTTGAAATTAAGATAATGAATGTATTACGAGTTCATATAAACTTACATTCAATTAAGTATAAATAAGCTATTTAAAAAAAAAAATTAACTATAACATTGGATACACTGACAGTATTAAAAGTGGCTATGTAACTAACAAATACAATAAAACTGTTTTCCAACATTTCTCTTATCGGGAACTTATTAAAATTTTCTCATAAGAAGGTGAAGAGTATTACAACAATCAATTTATGTGCACGTTGTTTTAAGCTTCATATAACTTGCATGCTCTCGCAATCTCATAATAATTTTGTAATTAGATATATCAAATATAAATTATCTGTAGTATATTCAAGTACATTTAAAATAACTTCCAAGTATTTTGCAAGAGTGCAAAGTTTCCTTATAAATTTTCTGTTAACAAACATCCAAAATAACAAATACGTGGCTAAAAATACCATCAACAGAAAAGATGCTTAACAACTACCAATTCCATACATTCCAATCATTACAAATGTTTTAGTTTTGTTGTGTATTGACTTATGACATTAAGTGCATCTAGTGACTTTTTTTTATATGGGCCAGCCTCATTCATTTATAATCTACTCTTTTAGTTCTGATTTATATGATTAGCTTACTTTTGATCAGTAGCCCTTAGTCACTTGTAAAATGATTTACATATAAAAATAACTCCTAACAGTCTAACATTGCAACAGTTTCCAACTGCTGGTCCACAAGGAACTTTCAGATGATGTGCAAAATGATTGAAAAAAATTTTTTTTTAATATAGTTACTGAAGTATATTGTTTTAAAATGTGATATAAATACTATACAAAGCAGTCTCTGAAATTCTGGAATTGGAACCAGCTGGTCTTCAGTTTGAAAAAAATGTATGCAACCATCATAGTAGTACATTCAAATTAGCTTACTAATACTCTACAAGTTGACAAAGTGTGTAATTTATCACTACTTTCTTAAATTACTTCCAATATCATTTACCAATACACATTTGAGTATTTCAAATAACTTATTCCGATCTACTGTATCAAAAAATTATCATTTTCACATGACTGATACACGGTTGAATTGAATCCCCCATTATTTTTACTATGGAATGTAACAGACAACGTACTAGTTATCAGGTAGAAAGTTTACAGCATGACTTACCAGTAAAGGAACAAAGAAAATGATCACACTCTGATATAATGCATCCACCATGTTTACCCAAAAGGAATATTTAGTATAAACCTAGATTGAAGAAACAACGTTCGTTATTTTAACAGATTGTAATGAAACACAGTACATAAGATATGACCAGTAATATGATTTGTAAACTTTAAAATTATTTCATCATCTATTGAATTTGAAATCTTTTGGCCTATAATGTTTACAGACCACTTGATTTTTTTCTGTATAGCAATAATATATATACTGCACAGTGTAAGGTTGAAGTAAGTTTGACAAAGATTGGTAGCAACTATACTTTGAAAGTGAAAGCCATACCTTGGAACGTCGCCCCTGTGCATATAGAGTAGGCTTCTGAAGTAATATACTTTCAGTGCAGTCTTGGTCATAGATTCCAAGTACCAGGGGAGGAAGGGCAGTGAAGAGAACATTGAACAGCATGAGGTAGAGCTGATCAATCATTACCATCCCCGAAAAACCACAGTATATTTGATACCAGAAGATCACAAAGATAAAAGACTGGAAAGAGTAAAGATTTAGTTAACAATGAAAAGACAAGAATATCTTGAAGTAACATTATACTGTTCGGTGATTTATTTATATAGTAAGAGATATGGGCTTATGTGTCAGACTAATATTTATTGACTTTTACTATACTGATTAAATACCTTATTTAAAATTGCAAATTCCAAGAATTAATAAAATTCTAATAGATAATTCATTTACTTTTTCATTATTTTTCTATTATAACATACAAAATACTTAGCTGCAAACAACATTTATCACATTACTAAGTAAATTATGACAAACAAAAAGTACACTTGGATAATAAAAGCTACATAAAATCAATTTTACTGATAAAGTTTAAAAAATATATATTTATAGCTTTTGGTTTAATAATAGTGTATATCCTATATTACAACTACCAGTTGAAGTTTAAATAAACATGTTCTTTTATAACTTTTCTTGTCAACTATTCAAACTAAATGTTACACACGCACACACACACACATATATATATATATATATATATATATATATATATATAAGTAAGTACGTACTACAGACGTAACTAACAAACGAAAACTTAACTTAC